ATTGTCTTCAATAGACAAGAACTCCAATATATTGTACATTAAGATCCGATTGTAAATAACGAAGATATGAGGAAAAATATAAAATGGCGACCCCTACGTTCGTGGGAATAAATTCGCAATTTCCTTGCAAAATTACTTAAGATTCGAAGGTGTACAGCGAAATTTTTTTTCTGGTACGGTCTAATGTAAACACATATTTACATACATACATATGTATGTGTTTAAAAATTAGTCTGTAACTATTCTTATCAAGTCCGAATTAATTGGAAAAATCGTATAATTTGCTGGCGCCTCCTTATAAAAAGCATTTTAAAGCAAATTTTCATTATCTTAGTTAAGCACTTATTATTAAAATATTTTTATTTCAATGGAAGGAAATACTTTAAAAATGTAAATTGCTAAAATTAGTTTGCACCTATGCAGCGATTTCCAAATAAAATTCCTATTCGTGATATATACATACATATGTATTTCACCCAGTTAGTTCTTCGAAACCCGGAAATGCAAACAATTGTATTTTCTAAAGAAAACTTTTCCCTTATTTGTAAGTTCTACATAATTAAAAAAATGTGTAAAATGAAGCGAAATTCATTTCAGTATGGTTTTTTTTTTATATAGGAAGAGTCTTTCTTTCCTACCACCATCTGTCTACCTACATATATGTATGTAGATACCACATAGAATACTTTCGTAGAACCGCTATATTTAATACGCTAAAATATTTTCATGCCGCCGTAAAGCAAAGATCTGTAAAACTTTCGTAGAATCATTTTCTTGAACACCCCAAAGTACGCCTCATCGGACTCCGGGGGTAGTTGATATTTCTTTATTGGGGCATTTAGTATTCAAGGAAACAGAAATAAAAGAGGCGCTTTCGCTAAGATAAATGCCAGCTCGCAACTGCATGCATTATAGAGCACAGTTACTGTATTTTATGGCCATGCATTATGCCGGATATGTCGTAAGACCATGCCAGGGTCCGTAGACCACTCTGAAATATTTATTTTTTTGCTTCCCAAAGAATTGTTATGTAAATGGATGGAAATTATGTATGTACTGAGAATATACATACATACATATGTATCTAATTATGCTCTTTTTTTACAATCCGCTTTGAAATATTTTTCCTCATAATCTTTTTAAGCTTTAAATAGCTGTTAACTTGCCAATCGATGGCGTTATTTTTTGTTATCTCTTCGGCGAATCTGTAATTTTATACCCAACGTAAGAATACGTATGTATGTAAATTAGACCGTACCAAAAAAAAAAGAATTTTGCCAGGTTATCTCGAGTTTTTTTTTTATTTGTTTTGCGAACGTAGGCCTTTTTCCATTTTTCGTGATTTATTTGGCATTTACAGTCGAATCTTTAGATATGATATATTGATGTTTTTATCTCAAGAAGCCATTTTTCCCCCAAAGTTCATTGAACTCAAGCACTTCGTTCTAGGACTTCCCACCAGATCTCAGATCTTATCACTCTAACGTACCACCCTAAACTCAATAAATTAAAGGCCATCAAAAATTATTAAACTTTAGCAAAGGAAGTATCTTGATTTTTCCAGTAGATCTATATTAAAAAAATTGCTCTTATTGCCGAATTTAATAGTTCACCGGAGGATTAAAAACAAACTACCTATAATTCGGCAAAAAATAAAAATCGAAATTGCCTTGCAAAATTACTTTAGATTCGGAGCTGTAAGGCGAACTCTCGATTAAAAAATTTTCTGATAATTCTGAAAAAAAGTTTGAAATTTTGATAAAATTTTTGTGAATCCTTATCCTTACTATCCTTACTAATATTATAAATCAGAAAGTGAGTTTGTTTGTTTGCTTCGCTTTCACGCTTTACCTACTCAACCGATCATCATGAAATTTTGTACACTGCTGTTATTTAGCCCAACTTAAAATATAGGATACATTTAATATCGATTAGATCGTGGCACCTCCCATACAAACGGAATTTTTCATGGTGCATTTCTCAGGAAATATTTTTGGTAGATTACTGGAACTTGGTATGTAGATATATAAAATCATTATCTACTTATGGATGAGGGCTGCCACCTTTTACATAAAATAAAATTCAACTTCAATTAAGGGAGCTATTTATTTGAAAATTAGATTAAAAAAATGGAAGTCAAGAGGCTTAAAAAAAGCTGCAGTTTGAATGTATCTTGAAAAGGGATGCCATCTGTTTCAAAAGTCAAATTTAAATTAATCGGAAGAATTAAAATATGGTTGTCAAACGAAATATTGTTAAGAAACCTTTAGTTTGAAAATTTTGAATAATATTGAAGTCTTTCACAAGGGTTGCCACATTTTTAAAATCAAATTCAATTAATTTAAATGAAATATTATAATACTAGCAAACTCGGAAAACTTCGTCCCGTCCAAACTTAATTTTATCATTGAAACATTTTGGTCCAACATGTTCCCCAACAATTCACGTTTACTATTCCCATTGGCCCGCTCATTGGCTAAGATTATGGTTTGGTGGTCTTTTGCCGCCTTAAATAACTTAACGAAAGTCTTATGTCCGTGAAGAAGTTCTTGATTATCTCTAATTGTGCAACATTTCATAGAACGGTTAATCTTATAACGAAATAAATTTGAAGAACATTTCCTCTTCACTCCCTAGCGGCAACAATGATCTGGTTCTATAGTGAATCTGCCCCAGAAACTTTATGGTATAGTTGGTGGCAGCTTCAAAATGGATGCGTATAATTGTTCTACAGAAATCCAATATACTCAGACTTTGTATGGGAGGTGCCACGCCAGATTAAAAAATAGCGATTTTTTCTTAAAAAAAAATCGGTTCGTCCGTTTCCGAGCTTTGCGAACACAAAAATATTAATAATATATATTAGTATAGATTGGTATGAATCGAAATGGTTTTGAATATGTATCACAATATGTATTAGTGGAGGAGAAGCTCGGCCAAACACTAACATATGTTTAAGCGCCAATCTATTATATATTACAATATGGGTATCAAAACTACATGTAAGGGCTTTCCATCTGTTTAAAATCTCAAATTGACTTTAGGTGATAAGTTAATTGGAAAAGTATGATAAGTGAGAAATAAAGTTTTATGTAGTTTTAAATTACTTTAAAGATGGTTAAACAAATTTTAAACCTCCTGTTTTTTAATTGAGTTTTCTTGAAATAAATTTTACTCAATGTAGCACGTAGAAATTTCATACACTCAGCGAAGCGTGTGAGGGCGATCTAGTATTATATAAAAGCCTGAAACCTTGATCTATATGGATTATGTTTTTTGTTATTTACGGCCTTACACCAATTATATTCAACAATTTTCTTAGCTTTAGGTCGTTTATAATGAAAAATATTGTGGAAAAACAACAATAATGGTAGAAGTTATAGAATAGCAGCTATAATAAAAATAGAATCTTAACACAAACCAACAACCACATGATCAAGTCTAAATAGCAATAGCCTTGTTTATAGTTGGGTTGATCGAATGAAAAAGTGGAAAAGGCAACAGCAATTTAAATTAGCTCAGTGGATAAGACCGCTGGCTTTGAACGCCGGAGTTGCGATTTCAAGTCCTAGTGAACTCGATGAAGAAGTATGATGAGGAGAATTGATATCCGATATACTTAGGTGCTATAAGTTCTACCAAGTCTAGGTGGTGCGGTCTAGTGTACATATTGCACACGATCTTCTAAAGTGACCTAACTCAAAATTTCGAATTTTTGAATTTATGCACTAAAAATATGCACAGAGCTTTTATTTACCTTTCAGCAAAAACTGGAGCAAATTTTTGTTATAATTTGTTGACAAAATATAAGGTAAAGTCTTCCTTACCCATATGATGAGTATGCGCTAAGAAATAGTTTTTCGCATTTTCTGACGAACGTGTTATTTTGAGTTGTGTCAATTTTGAAGTCCGTGTGCGGTATGTATCTCTGTGCATGCAAATTAAAAGAAAAAAAATAATACATCGTCTCCCAATTATAAATACCATAATACAACCAGTGTGGCCAGGTTAGCCTTTGGAGCAGAGACCAAAAATAATCGTTAAATATCAATAGTTTTATTTTTCCATCATTGCAAAATCGTTGTTTTTAACCGACTTAAAAAAGGAGAAGGTTATCAATTCGTCTTAATATTTTTATTTATGTACATATGTTACCGCATAATTTTGGACCACGTCAGCCCATTTCGATAATCCATCGGCAACGTAGTGGCTCGCGGGTGGTCCCATACTAATTTGGTTTGGATACGATCATTGAATCATGCAAAAATTAGCGGTATTCCTAAATTTTTATGAGAATTGAAGTCGGCTGCGTTTTTTGCTTAAAAATTACTAGTTCGATTTTTTTTCCGTCAAGAATAATCGTTATAATTAGATTTTTTTTCGGTAAAAGATAAACGTTGTTTTGAGATTTGTTTTTACTAGTTTTTTAGGACGATTTCTTTGAGAAAATCAGTTTCAAGCTTTTTATTTTGGGTTTTGAACAAAATGGCTTTCAACTGCATATTTAGGTAGTATGAACAATTGTCCTTTTAATTGAATTCGCCTTTGTATATCTGGAAGTGCAATGGCACGGTCGTAATTAGCTTGATAGAAGCTATTTTGTGTTTTTTTGTTTTTGACTTACAAATTTATTTAAAGAAAATAATTTTTGCTAAAACTGGAAGAGTTCGTGAAGAGTTTTTTGGTTTAAATATGCTGACATAATTTTAACTTCATTTTTCAGAGGATATAACTTTTTACGGCCTTTGTGCAAAATCAATTTAGATACAATTTTTGTTATCATCTGGTCACATTGAAAAAAACGAAAGGCAAGCTAAATAACAAATAACGCACTTTCTACTCACCGTTTTTTAGCCGTGAGCTGTGGGCAACAAACCAAAAAAA